TTTACTTATTCAGTGTCATACCAATCAAACTACCCAAAAAATTATTTTACAGAGTTAGAAAAAATAATAACAAGATTCATTTGGAAGAACAAAAGGTCCAGAATATCAAGGGAACTAATGAAAAGAAATGCAGGGGAAGGTGGTCTAGCTATTCCAGATTTCAAATAGTATTATAAAGCAGCAATCATCAAAACTGCTTGGTACTGGCTAAGAAATAGAGTGGAGGATCAGTGGAATAGGTTAAATATGCAAGACACAGTAGTCCATGACTATAATAATCTATTATTTGATAAACTTAAAGACCCAGCTTCTGGGATAAGAACCCACTCTTCAAAAAAAAAAACTGCTGGGAAAACTGGAAAAGAGTATGGCAGAAACTAGGCATAGACCAAAATATCACACTATGTACCAAAATAAAGTCAAAATGGGTTCATGATTTAGATATAGTGGCTGATACTATAAGCAAACTGGGAGAGCAAGGAATAGTTTACCTGTCAGATCTATGGAGAACAGAAGAATTTATGACCAAACAGGAGGCAGAGAACATTACAAAAAGCAAAATGGATAACTTTGATTACATTAAATTGAAAAGTTTTTGCACACACAAAGCCAATGCAACTAAGATTAGAAGGAAGGTAGAAAATTGGGGAAGAATTTTTACCACCAGTCTCTCTGATAAGGGACACAGTTCTAAAATACAAAGAGAATTAAGTCAAACCTATAAGAATACAAGTCATTCTCCAATTGATAAATGGCCAAAGAATATGAACAGGCAGTTCTCAGATGAAGAAATTAAAGCAACTTATAGTCATGTGAAAAAAATGCTCTAAATAACTCTTGATTAGAGAAATGCAAATCAAAACAACTCTGAGGTACCACATCACACCCATCAGACTGACCAACATGACAAAACAGGAAAATGATAGATGTTAGAGAAGATGTGGGAAAATTGGAACACTAATTCATTGTTGGTGGAGTTGTGAAATGATCCAACCATTTTGGAGAAAAATTTGGACCTGTCCTCAAAGGGCTATAAAAATGTGCATACTGTTTGACCCAGCAATAGCACTTCTAGAGGCTTAGCTTCTAATAATCTAGGCACTGCTGGAATTATCAAAATCCAGCCACTGCTCAGATTCTTAAAATCTAGCCCATAGCTTACTAATGTTCAGAGTCCTTAAGAGTCTGACCAATATGATGGTTGTTCTAATAAACCTTTGGCTAACAGAAGGCTCGGGTCAAATTCTTTCGGACAGAACCCACGTATTATGATTTTGGGGTGCCAGCACCCCTGAACCTATCAACCTCATCATTTTGGTGGCCAGTATGGGGAAAATGCCTAACTCCAAGTTCTTCTCCAGCCAAGACTAAAAGGTGTGTAAGCCTCCTCTCCCATCCTTTCTTGCTCTGCAGTTGGGGTCACTCTCTGAGTGCCAAGGCTTGGAGGTGCTTTTCTGGCAGACAGTTATGAAGCTGTTTAGCACTCAGCCTGATGCTCTCAGGCTCTCAGTCCACTGGGTCAGTTCAAGGTCATGGACCTGGGTACACCTTCTGCAGCATAGAGGACAAGGACGGACGCCCTATCTAGAAGTGTATGTTCAGTTCCTTCCTTTGGAGCTAGGGAATTGGGGAAAACTGCAGTTGCTTTTTGGTTACCTGAGGCTTATTTACTCCCTTCCCTCTGCACCTCTGAATCGTCCTTCATGGAGGTTACAGGTAAAGTTAGAACAGCTAAAAATATCTTGGCAGATTCTGGAGGTTTTGTGATTGATCATTAAGGAGTTTTGAAACACCTGTACAACCTGGTCACTCTCTTCTCTGTTAACCCCTCTCATAGGAGAAGAGAGTTTCACCATTTACCCCTCCCCTTTGATTTTGCCCTCCCCCACCTGGGAAAGAAAGGAGGGGGGAGGGGCAGCAGCTACGGCATGGGCCCTACTGGCAATGGCCTTGGGCCCTGGGCAACTTTTACCTGGAAGGATCATCCAGGTTCAGCACATCCTGCTCAAGGTAAAGAAGCTAGCCTACAAACTTGGGTAACCATGTTCTTTTAAATTTGTAGTTTTAACTGTTAATGATGAGATGTTGATTCTCTGTATAAAGTAATTTGGAAGTGCATTTAACAAAACTGAAGTCACCTGATTGGTAATGGGTTTGTTTCAAGTTTCAAATTGGTGAGCTTTCTGTATCAGTTATGTCAAGCAACTTTTCATAATTTGCTTACCATTAAAAATAATTTAGCTATTGTTGGCTATTGTTTTAATGTGTAATCTAGCCAAAAAGTTTGTTTGGGTTATGTATGACTCGCTGAGAATTTGCAAGTGTATAGAAATCTCTAATGATTGACTTTTTACACCAGGACAAATTTAAGTTTGAGATGTAAATCCTGGAAAAGGTTTTCTTAAGCTGTGATTAATAAAACTTGCTGTTTGAGGTAAAAGCTCATAGAATTTTATTTTGACTTGTCTGATGGGTCATAATCCATCCATAATCAATAATCAATCTGAGAGAAAAGCCACAAGCTACTCAGAGAAGGTGGTACTGGTGGTAAGTCAACCTCAGGAAAAGCTGAGAGGACAATTTTAGTCTCAGGCTAAGATGAGATCCTCCTGGCTCAGTTTCCCCATTAGGTTACTTTGAAAGAGAATGTTACCCAACTGGCTATTCTTGAGTCTGGTTATGAGGTGGATTTGATACTACATGGTTGGAAAACTGAATTATCTGAATCCAAATAGAGCTAAGGATGTTTTATCCCCTCATTTGGGCCCTAAATCTAGTCCCTGCATTATATCTGGGCCCTGCAGTTTTTTCTGTCAGATTTGTATCTTCCAGACTATAGGTCATTCACCTACAATTGGTAGCAAACAGCAGTATCAGCCCATGTCCCACCATCATTCCCTGGGTGCATCCTGTTCTCAGTTCCAGTCAACCTCCTTGGGACCCCCTCAAGGCAGGGACGGCTCTACACCCTTTGTGAGCAGGAAGCAGTTTCAGAAGCTGAGACCTTCACCCCTTATTCCAAAAGAATTTGGGTCCCATTTGTTTGAGGGGGGAATGATGGGGTTGGGATCTGGGCCTCAGAAATGAAAAACCCTGGACTTTCCCACATCATCAAATCTCTGGAGTTCTCCTGAGGCTATAGTCCTATCAACTGGCCTTTCATTGTGGCTGTGCCCAATATCTGTTGCCCTTAACCTATCCTGGCCCTCCATTGTCTTACTTCCCTGTGCCCCCCCTACACCCTCTCACCCTTAATCCTATCTAGGCTTCATTCTCCCTTGTCCATCCCTGGAATTCTATCACCTCATAGACTACTTGGCCACTCCTAGATCCCTTCCATAGTCTTTCTGTATATAAGGTCCATCTCATCTCCATTAAGATGCTTAGATTCTTAAAATCTAGCCACTACTCAGAATCTTAAAATCTAGCCAATAGCTTACTAATGTTCAGATTCCTTAAGAGTCTGACCAATATGATGGATGTTCTAACAAACCTTGTCATTGACTGAAAAAAAATAACACTAGTAGGGCTATATCCCAAATAGATCATACAAATGGGAAAAGGACCCACGTGTACAAAAATATTCATAGCAGCTCTTTTTGTGGTGGCAAAAAATTGGAAATTGAGAGAATGCCCATCAATTGGGGAATGGCTAAGCAAGTTGTGGTATATGAATGTAATGGAATACTATTGTGCTATAAGAAATGATGAACAGGCTGACTTCAGAAAAACTGGAAAGACTTGTATGGGTGATGCTGAGTGAAGTGAGCAGAACCAAGAGAATGTTGTACACAAGAACAGCTATGTTGCGTGATGACTAATATTGATAAACGTAGCACTTCCCAGCCATACAAGGATCTGAGACATCTCCAAAGACCTCATGACGGAAAATGCTATCCACATCCAAAGAAAGAACTATGGAATTTGAATTGCTATTTTTTTCTCTCCCATTGAGTTTTGTTTCCTCTTTCTGGTGGTTCCTCCTATTGGTTCTAATTTTTACTTATAACATCACTAATGTGAAAATATGTTTAATAGGAATATATATGTATATCCTATATCAGATTGTGCACCATCTTTGGGAGGGTGGTGGGGAGGAAAGTGGAGAAAAAATTTAAACTCAAAAGCATATGGAAGTGATTGTTGATAAATCAAAATAAATTAATAAAAAATTAAAAAAACAAAAAGAGAAACAAGGACAGGCTGTGTAAAGGAAACAAATTTAGAAGTCAAATTTATTGTTAAGTTATTCACCAGTGGTTTTTTGTATTGATGATTCTCACAACTAGACAACTGGTGTCCATTGGCAACTGTTCATACTCAGGAACTGGTGACTTCAGGCTATTGCATAAACATTAAAGCTATGATTCCAGGACTGAGCAGGATCCCAATGAACTTTGGCCAGCTTCCTTTGATCCCCTCCTCCCTTTTTGTAATTTTTTTAAACTTTCCTCTTATTTGGTTCCTCCCTCTTCTCCTTTATTCCTCATTTCTCTCTCCTTCATCACAGTAAAGGATATTAATAAGAAAAAGATCGAGTTCTCAAACCCTGAGCAAGAGTGATCCCCCCTCTTATGCTTATTTTTGCAAGAGAATAAGTCACTTCCCTTTCCTGAAGTACAAAATGCCCCTTTGGGTATTGTTAAATTTATAGTAGATTAAACAATGTGAGAAGTTATACATTAATGACTCTCTCTCTCTCTCTCTCACATACACACAAACACACACACACACACATACACACACACACTCTCTCTGTCTCTGTCTCTGTCTCTCTGCCTCTCTCTCTCTCTTTATGAGAAAATGGATGAGTGAATTTTGGGGACGTGGATTTATTGCTATGACAACTACCTAGATATTCTTTTCCCCTTAATTGCTATTTCTAGCCCTCACATAAGATGTGTCTCCGACAATGTTTTATGTCTTGGAGTCATTCATCATGCAGAATAGAGTTTTCTGATGGTTACACTTTTGTTGCAGGGGAACAGCATCACTCTCAAATGACATCCATGGAGAACAGATCTGAGGTGAATGAGTTCATCCTTACAGGATTAACAGATGATCCAGAGCTTCAGATTCCTCTCTTCATAATGTTCACCCTCATCTACCTCATCACCCTGGTAGGGAACCTGGGGATGGTAGCTCTGATCTCCGGCGAATCCTGCCTCCACACCCCCATGTACTTTTTCCTCAGTAACCTCTCTCTGGTGGATTTTAGCTACTCCTCAGCTGTTACTCCCAAGGTGATGGCTGGGCTCCTCACAGGGGACAAGGTCATCTCTTATAATTCATGTGCAGCACAGTTATTCTTCTTTGGGGCCTTTGTTGTTACTGAAAGTTTCCTCTTAGCCTCCATGGCCTATGATCGCCATGCAGCTATCTGCAAACCTCTACATTACACCAACACCATGACATCAACTTTATGTACCTATCTGGCCACTGGTGCATATGCCTGTGGCTTTCTGACTTCCTCCATAGTCACAGGAAACATGTTTAGCCTTTCCTTCTGTAAATCCAACATAGTCCATCACTTTTTCTGTGATATTCCCCCTCTCCTAGCTCTCTCTTGCTCTGATATTCATATCACTGAGTCACTAGTCTTTATTTTAGGGTCACTGAATACCTTTTTCCCATTTCTTGTCATCTTTGCTTCTTACTTGTTAATCTTCATCACCATCCTGAAGATCCATTCTACTGAAGGACGCCAGAAAGCCTTCTCCACCTGTGCTTCCCATCTCACAGCAGTGTCCATATTTTATGGGACCGTCATCTTCATGTACTTCCAACCCAGCTCAAGCCATTCCATGGACACAGACAAAAGGGTGTCAGTGTTCTACACCACAGTCATCCCCATGTTGAACCCTCTGGTTTATAGTCTTAGGAACAAAGATGTCAAGAATGCTTTTAGGAAAGCTGTGAGGGGACAGAGACTTTAATTAGATCATTCTTTTTCTTAGAGAGAAAATCCAATCTATACATTCCCTACTCTGGGACCCAGCCCTCAAATCAGGCTATTTTTCTTATGCATATAGAAGTGTAATTCAAACGTTTTCATAGGCAACATGATTCAGTAGAAAGTGTCATACATTTGTGGTTAGGAGAGACTTGAATTTATATCTTCTTAGTCAATTTCATGTTGTATAGACCTAGGCAAGTCCAAATCTTAGTTTCCTTATGATTAAGGGGCCTTAATAGTATCCTCTATCTTATAAGATTGTTATGTAAAATGAATAGTATGTGTGTGTTGTATTCTTGTTGTCATTCAGTTGTGTCTGATTCTTTGTGACCTCATTTTGGGTTTTCCTTGACAAAGTCACTGTAATGTTTTCCCATTTCCCTCTCCAGCTCATTTCACAGTTGAGGAACTGAACAAACAGGGTTGAAAGACTTGCCCAGGGTCACACAGGTAGTAAGTGACTGAGATTCCATTTGAATCATGAAGATGACTCCTCTTGATTCCAAGTCAAGTGTTCTATCCACTGTGCCACCAAAATTTCTCCCCACGTACACATTTAAACGCAACATAGCAATAGTAGCAATTTTCATAGAAACAGGAAGATCAGCTACATAATATTTGAACAGTTTATTACTTCAAGAACTAAGCCCCTGAGTTGCCTGGAAGATATAGCTTTGATGTTAATGGCATTGCTTATACAGCAGCTCCTAAAGCAGAGATAAGTTGGTAAATGGTTAAGAACCAGCTCTCCAGAAAATAATGCATATGTGACATACTTTGAAATTTAATCTATGTGATTATTTATTCTATCACTTTCTGAAATCAAAGTCATCAACAAAAAAATAAATCAAGATAAGGATAAAAATCCCAGCGCTCTCTATCTTGAAGCAATTTTGTGAGGATTAGCGTATCCTTAGACATGAAAGGTGTAGTGTGATGTAGGGAAAAGATTATTGGACTTCAGAGAGAAGACTCAGGTTTGGAACCCTTGCTCTGCCACTTTTATTAGGTACCAAATGCATGGTTTGTATAAGGATTCTGCTTAACTTGGGACTTCAGCTATTGACTTCCAAGTATTTCACTACTAGGGCTCATTGACATGGGACCAACCTGGAGACAGCAGTCCCTGGAGTCACTCCCTCATTCATCTGCCTTCTGTTGTTCATCCTGAGACTGAGCAGGAAGGAAGGTCACTAACTCTGCCTCCATCCTGGCAATAGCAATGACCACGGATGACCTCTTCTGATTTAAGGTCTTTGGACTAGCTAGCAGCAGGACTAGGGAAAAGTTTCTTGTAAAGCATTGAGTACATATTAAGGTTGAGACTTCACACCCAAGATACTCATGTGAAGGGGCTTGGCCAACTCTCCCCTTTGTTATACCATCTACCTTTGTCAGGTAGGTTCTGGGAAATGTGATGTAAGGCTAAGGTGCTCATGTAGAGAGCAGCAGGACAGAGTTGGAATACTGGTGGACCTGGGGTCAGAAAGATCTGATAAAAATCCTTGTCTGAACAAGTTGGGGTATGTGATTGTGATGGAATACTACTGTGCTATAAGAAATGATGAGCTCAATGATGTTAGAAAAGCATGAAAGACCTACATAAAATAATGAAGAATTAAAGGAGCAGAACCAGGAGAACATTGTATATAGTAATAGCAGTATTATTTTAAAAATGACTTGAACAAATAAGTTACATTGACTATTAAAAATGCCCAAATTAACTATAAAGGACATATAAAGAAAGATGCTTTCTGCTTCCAGAGAAAGAACTGATAAAAGAAGTATGTACAGAATAACATGTATACATGCTACACACAACACATATACATGTTACAGATAACATACATACATGTTATATACAACGTGCATACATGTTTTATATATATTCTAATAGTGGGCATCTCTGGGGGAAGAAAAAAAAGAGTTTCATGATTACTTTGTTGTATATTTAGAAGGTATAGAAAGGTATACATAGTGGATTTGCAGTTTGATGAACCATCACCTTTTTTTTGTTGTTTTGATATGGTATATTATGGAAATAGTTGTTTTATTCCACAAATTAAAAATAAAGAACCCTCGCCTCTGAAATTTCCTTCCATTGATACTCTATACAGTTTGTATGTAAATGGTTATTTGCTTATTCTCCATTTAAAATGTGAGATTCTGCAGAGTAGGCACCTTGGTTTTAGCTTTTCTGTGTCCCTAACACTTAGAATAATGCCTGTCATACAGTAAGTGATGAATAAATGCTTGTTGACTAACATCTTTACCTCTGAAATTTACTAGCCATTTCCCCATGGGTAAGTTGCCTTACCTCTCTGAGCCCCAGCTACCTCCTCCAGAAAATGTGCATAATAACACCTATGAACTTATCTCACAAGCTTGTCCTCAGGAGTAAATGAGGTAATATACATAAAGTGCTTTGAAAATGTCAAAGTGCTGTATAAACACCAGTTATTCTCTATTTGTAGTTATTCAAACTGATTATCCTGTAGTAACTGAATGGGAAATCTGAGGGATGCAAGACTGTGTATTCCTAATGAGCCCTTACCAAGACATCCACAAATATATACATACATATATTATATCTTATAATATACTTTAATTTGTCACTTAATTTATTAAAATGTTTTTTTAATTCACCAAAATGAATAAACAAATGAATTTATCAGGAAACCTGAGAGATAATAGCAAGCATTTGAGTTCTTCCTGGATTACTTCTTTTAATGCTTCCAAAATGTGCCATCTAAGATATTTGTAATAATTAATTGAAATTTTACAAAGTTATATGTAGAGTATTATTTAGAATTCTAGGTAGGATAAAATTTTGAATTTCAAAGTTATAATGGAATAATAAGCATTTTCTTATAAGATATTTGGGCAAAAGTTATTAATAGTTATTTGAATAATGCATAGATGCATACACATGCACAAACACACACACTAACACACATATTTTGAACCTGGTTGTGTGAGTTGAACATGAGATGCAATTTCTAGGTGGGACACATTGGACTGCAAATAAAACAAGTCTAAAATTCTGCATGTTTCTTTTCAAAATTTCATCTTATTTGATTTAACTGAAAATTCTGGCCTGTTTAGGCATTTTTGAATCCTGAATAGATCACTCAATGTGATAGTTATCCCTCCTGGATTTTTTCCATCTGGGAATTTGATAAAGATGTCAATATTGGTTTGCCCAAGTAAGCGATAAATCAATTGAATTCCACAATAATTCATTAGGCCACGACTTTGAGTAAGGCCCAGTGTAGGTTCTAGGTATACCAAGACAAAAAGAATGTAGTGCTGTCCATGAGAAACCTGTTTTTTGGGGGTGAAAATAAATATACTCATGTAACTGAACATAAAATATATAGATGGCAAGTTGATTTTGCATTGTGGAGCAATTGCTAGCAAGCCGGAGACTAGGATAGAGCACCTTCCAAGTTGATGATGATCCATCATAGAATCTTTCTTGAATCTTAAGTACTCAAAAAGTTCAGAATCTGCTACTTTGGGCCCTTTACTCTCTTTTTCTGTGACTTGTCCTTAACAATAGCTTCTCAAAGTCTCTACTTAAACCTTGACAAATGATTACCACAACATTCTCCTAGTCACCATTGAACTAGAACTTTAAGGATGTATGTCTTCAGAACTACAAAGCAGAGAGAGGGACAGAATTAGATAGAGTTTAGAAAAATTGGTAAATTGGGAGCTCTGAGTAGATTTTGAAAAAGAATAGCAGTAATATTCAGAATAATAAGAGTATCATTTATAATTTATAAATTAATATCCTGGAAATGGTCATGAGAAATAGAATTAGAATTAATGGCCTTGTCCAGGTCCCTTTCTACTTCACTTTGGTAACAACAAGCAAAGGATGAAAAAGTACCCTTGAGGAAATGGTCCCTGTGGGTACGCATAGTTCCCCCCACACATGTTCAGAGCAGAATTTAGTGGGTTTTTTTGTTCATGAGTTAGCAGCAGAGCTGACAAGAATCTCCAAGGGAGCACCATCTCCCAAGAATGGAAGGGCTCTCAGGTCTGCATAAAGTCCCTGTCTCTTCCGTGACTTCAGTTACTGACAGTGCAATATTCTATATAAAAGCTCAGTGCTGAGGAACCACCTAGTGGGTTAAATTCCCTGAGTCATTCACTCACTCATCTAGTTTATTTTGTGCTTCCTGAGGCTGAACTGAATGGAGGGTAGGAGATGGAATCCCTAGCTGTACTGCCACCCATGCCACAGCAATGGCCAGGAGTGATCTCTCTGCTACTAGGAACCTTTGAACTCTTTGCCCCAATGACTAGTGAAGAGTTTCTCCCATATGATTATATGGTTCCTAATCTTGGGACTTCAAGGTCAAATCTTGAATATAAAGTTTTTGGCTAACTCTCCTTTTCAAAGTCTTGGCCAGCTGTCTCCATATCAAGCCAGCTAGGTTCTAGGATATTCAATCACATGACTGCTGTTCTTATGTAGACACCAAAATGGTGTAACAGAAGCACTGCTGGATGTGAATGCAGGAAGACCTGCATAAAAACCTTCTATATCTCCAACAGTGACTCACTTTCTCCATGAGAGAGTCACTTGACTTCTATTTCCTCATCCATAAACTGTACATAACTATACTTGTGGTACTTATTTCATAGGGCTGACTTGGGGCTCAAATGAGATCATGTATGCAAGTTGTGTTCAAACATCCACTACTTGCAGCTTTTCAAACTCATCATCCTCCAGTAACTAGACAGGTGAATGTGTAATCCAAATGAACACTTAATTAAACAATGTTGATTGAGCGTACACCGTGTACAAGGCATTTCATTAAAAATTTGGGGTAGGGATTTGATAAGAAAATTTAGGTGAGGGAGTCTTGTCCTAAATAGCAATAGTTCACATTTATATAACATTTGGAAAGAGATTCAATTTTCTCATTTGAATCTCCCAACAACTGTGTGAGGTAAATACCATCTCCCTCCCCCTTTTACACATAAGTAACCTGAGGCTGTTTGACTTGGGTGATTTGTCTAGACATATAAAATTAATAAAGGTCTGAGGTGGATTTAAATCCACATCTTCTTGACTCAAAAATCAAAGCTCTTTCTAGTACATTGCTTTATTATGCTAGTATTTTGTAGTATACTAGCCCTTCTGTCCTCTTTTCTCAATGACTTTGTGTTTCTCAGAGCACCTGCTCATTCATTGTCATGTAAAAGCATGATATCCTGCACTGATCATGGTAAATCTCATGTCTATAGCATTTGATTCTTGGCAAACACTTCCCTCACTACCACTGTGTGACCTCCATACCCAAAGAAATATGATCCCCATTTTCCAAATGAGCAGACAGGTGCAGAAGGATTGATCAACTTCCATGAAATCACAGAAGAAATTAGTGAATATCCAAGCAATATTAGAGACCAAGTCTTCAGACTCCTAATCGATAATCTTTCCAAGAGAATGGGTGTTTTGGAGTAGAAAACAAATCACCTTGTCAGCCTTGGCAACTAAGAAGGATTCTCTCTAGACACAGGAACTCAGGAGGACCCAGTCTTGAGTACATCAGTGAAAAGAATTGTCATGGATTATATCTATACGTATTTCATTCAATAGAATCAATTAGAAAAATGGCACAGGTGTTATTTATGAGACAAACATGACTATAAACCTTGACTCTGCATCGGTTGTTTCTTTCCTACTTAGTATAGTTATGATTATGATAAAGGAAATTCCTTCATTGTTGTTAGTTGTACAAATAGATTTTTTTCAACTCCTCTAATAGTCTACGAGATAAAATTTTATTTATTTATTCTGTCCTTAACTATCAGTCTTACTTTAACCACATTAGAAAAAAAGGCTTGGCACTGTAGTATTATGAAGACTAAAGGATATCTTTAAATTAAAATAGGTTAAAAGTGTCATAGGAACATTGATACAGAGATGGAAAGTACCTCAAAGGTCATGAAATCTAACATTTTTTCTTTATCAATGAACAAACTGAGGTCCATGATATCCTTGGAGTAAAAGGCCTTAATGGATTTGTGAAAGAAAACAGATAACAGTTTTATTACTTAAAATAACAGTAGACAACTCTTTTATAAAGCTTTAAAGTTTTCCAAGCATTTTACAGATTTCTCCCCTATAGTCAGACTAGCCCTATGATATAGGTGTCCTTACTTTTATCCTCTTTTGACTTATGTATGAAGTGAGAGTCTGAGTTGAGGGGACATGTCCATGGTCACAGTGACAGTAAGAAGAGGTAAGAATCAAAATTTCCCTTAAAACAAGAAATAAACCTTTTCCATCTCTGTCTCCAGCCCTCTATTATATGTATCCATATCTATGTATGTGTTGAAGAACAGGTCAATTAGCCCTTCCCTCAAGACTTTGAATGAGGGGAAATCTGATACATGTTAAGACAGCCCATTCTTCTGAATAGCAACATTTTTGGAATATTTTTCTTACATCAAATATAAATTTGTTTCTTCTTAATTTCTAACCTTTTGGTACAAATAAAACAAACTAAATTCTTCCTCCGTATGTCAGTCCTGTAGGTATTTGGAAATAACTCTAATCTCAACCCCTGCCCTGACACCCATCTTTTATCTTCTGTACACCAAACACCTTCTGTTCCTTCCACAAATCCCAATATGACAAGATTTCAAAGTCTTTCTCTACCCTTTCTGAACTTTTCTGGAAAATCTCCAGTCTGTCAGCATCCTCCTAAAGTGTAGAACCCAGAACTGAACATATTGCTCCAAATGTAGACTAGAGAGGACCACCTCTGTATGCCCGGATACTGTGTATCTTCATTCAGTGTAAGGTCAAATTGGTTTTCTTGTCAGTCATGTATGGCACAAGGTTGTTGTGGGAATCAAATGACCCAATCTATTTAAAGTACCTTGAAAACTTTAAAGATGAAGCTCTGGCAGATAGAGCATTGGGACTGGAGTCAGAAAATCCCAAATTTAAATCCAGCCTCAGACACTTAAGGAATGACTCTAGGCAAGTCATTCAACTCCTGTTTATCTCAGTTTCCTCAGTTTTAAAATGAGGTAATAACAGCACATATTTCACAGAGGTGTTGTGAGAATCAAATAACATAATATTTATGAAGTATAGCACAGTATCTGACACATAATAGCTGCTATATAAATGTTTTTTCCTTTCTCTCCACAAACATAGGTTTTGCTTTTTATTATATTTGATATCAATTCCTAGTTGTTCTGTTATTCTGAATCCAAAGTTCATTCTCCTTGTCAGAGAAAATAGAAACAAAATGCAAATTAAGCAGCTCTGTCTTTGTTTATCATTCATTGTGCTTCTCTTGTCACCCTTGAGAATCAGTCCAGTTCTTTATTTGATTTTGTTTTACTTCCCTAAATAGCCACCTTTTATAAT